AAATTTTCACAGAAATACGGGCAAAAATTCACGTTTTCCCCAATAAAACTTCTAATGCCGGCACTGGAATTTTTTCGTGGCCGTCACTTTGCGCCTCTTTTCCCGTGCTAGCACTAGAATTTTCCTAAAAAATTTCTCTCCCTGTGAAGTTACTATAATGTTATGTGCCGCATACAAAAAAAATCGTATCGTTCACCAAAACTGCCTCAACAATTTTCTTATTGTAAATCGAACTTCAGATTTTTCTCACAGTGTGAAGTTGTTGGAATAAGCTTCGGGTGAGTCGGTTAGTGCGACGAGGGAAAATTAATTCATAAAGCGTAAAAAAATTATTCGGCAGTGATAATTTTTCTCGTGAATTCCGACTTTGATCCTTCAAATAGATCCATCAAATTCTTTCTTCAAGTATTTTTTTGAACAATACACGGAGAGAAATTTTCTAGAAAAATTCTAGGATGAGTACTGAAAAAAATCACAATCCACCGGTTATGAAAAATTCTAGTACTGTTGAGGTAAAGTTTGTCAGGATTTCTGGTAAAATTTCTGAGGATTTCTGTGAAATTTTCAAAAATACGGGGGAAAATTCACGTTTTCCAAATAAAATTTCCAATGCCAGCACTGGAATTTTTCCCTGGCCGTCATTCATTAGCGAACAGTTGAATAAAAACTTTGTTATATACGTGCGCACATACACGCAACGCACATGCAACGATTACATTATTGAACGATTACAATGCTTCCATTTGGAAGCAAGAACTGTTCATTTGATCCAAACAAAGTCTATATTTAATCCAAATAAACCATTTCTCTGGATGTGTAAAAATGGTTCAATTCACTTCCTTCAAATTCCTTTGAATTTCCTCGCCGGGCTCGGTCGATATTATAATTGAATTACAATGTAAAGACTGAAACCCGAGTTCTATGGGTATCGACTGAAAGCCAATACCGAGCCCGTCTCCCATAAGGTGACGGAGAAATATATCACAATTGCCAATCCTGTTCCTCCCAATTCCAATCACCAAACGTGACTTTTCGTAACTCTCAGTCTAGTCGACTTGATCGAGGAATTAATTTTTCAGAAGGATAATCAGCGGTAATTGCCGGCAAGGGAAAATAGCGGAGGGTGAAGAGTCCTTAGTGTTCCTCCGGAGTTTAACACAAGGTGTTTGGTTCCTAGTTTGGTTGGCGCGCACGCGCGTTAAAATTCTGCTGATAACAGCGTGCGCCCCTGCGGTGTTTAGTACCGGTCGTAACACCGACGCGTCGTGACGTTTGAACTTACTCCGATCGTCCGTCGATAATTGTCTTTTTTCGCATTTCGGCGCTATCAGTTGTCTCTATTTTCATTGATACAATGAATATTCAATATTTTACACCGAAAATTCAGCTCGCAGGTGATGAATTCTACTTCGAAAAATTTCGCGAGTAATTGAATGGTAAATATATTGAATTTTTCCGCTCATGTAATTTTTTATCTTGGAAATTTCAATTCTCGGATCAAAACAATCAGATAGTTTTATTATAATTAGTGATATGAATAGTCCATGATTTACAACGAAAATACATCTCTCGGGTGGGGAATTCAAGGTTAAACAATTTTGAGAATAATTGAACGGTAGGAATGCAGGATTTTTTAGTTCCTGAAATGTTTGACTTGATAATTTGATTTTCCTGGAATTACTGACATTATTGCCCCTTTTTTTACAAGTCTCCAGCGGCCTTTTAACAAAAATTATCTTTTTTCTTGTTAAAATTCATCCAATTGTCTTGACTTTGATTAGTAAAATGAATAGTAAAAATTTTTTTCTGAGGATTAATGAGATGAATATTCAACATTTTATCCTCGAAACATATCTCTCAGATAATAACTCGGTCATTAAAAAAATCGAGAATAATTGAGGGGTAAATACGCTGAATTTTTCAGCTCATTAAATATTTGAGTTGGAAAATTCCATTTCCCCATTGAATTACTGACATTAATTTCACACTTTTCTTACGAGGCTCAAGAGATACTTTGAAAAACGTTGGAAATTAGGTGAGGGTTCCATAAAAAATTGTCTTCTTTCTCATTGAAATACATCCAATTGTCTTGACTTTAATCAGTAAAATGACTATTAAAAATTCTCTTCTGGTGATTAATGAGATGAATATTCAATATTTTATTCTCGTAACCTATCTGACTCATAATAACTCGATCATTAAAAAATTCGAGAATAATTGAGAGGTAAATATGCATAATTTTCCTGCTCATGAAATGTTTGACTTGGAAATTTCACTTTCCTGGAATTACGAACATTAATTCCGCGCTGAATAATAATAATAAAAAAAGACGTCAACTCCAGTTTGCTTTTTCACCAGAATACATCCTATTGTCTTGATTTCAATTAGCAAAATGAATGTCAAAAATTGCGTCTGAGAGTTAATCAAATGAATATTCAATATTTTAGTCTAAAAAAATCTGTCATAGATGGTAAATTCAACATTAAAACATTCTGATAATAATTGAACGGTAAATATTCCGAATTTTCCGGCTCATGGAATTACCGGCGTTAACATCACATTTTTACGAGTCTCCAGTGGCACGTCAAAAAAACATTGAAAATTAAAGGAGCATTCCAGGGGAATTGAACACATAAATTACCTCGCAGCGTTTTTATTTGAAGGATATCCCGAGTATCTCGCCATTTACGCAGAGATAATTGATTTTTTTTACCTTGTAAAACATTTCGATGAAAAATCTACTCATACGAATGCAAATAGCGAGTTTAGCATTGACCTCGCTGTTCAGAGAAAAATTATAGCGCAAAAATTATGATTTAGAAACTTTAGGAAACTTATGCAATTCATTTGAAATTCTAAATCCGGCGAATTTATAACTTCCTGTTCATAATCGAGAGAACATCGGGGAAAGTTTGAGGATTTTGCATTTAGTTAAATTTCTTGACTTCATTAGAAAACCAAATTCAAGGTCAACGTTTCTTCGCTCAGAGAAGTTCTTTAATTGAATTGAATAAATGTGATTATTTCGGTGATATTACATGAATAGTTCTTTAAATATAATCAATGTTTTCTTGATCCAAATAAACAATTTACTGTTCAGAAATAAAATTATTCTTTAGACGGCGAAACGAACGAATTGCATACGAAAATATTGTGTCTTAAATTAAGAGGGGAAGACGTCAATTAAGACATTTTTGCCTTTTTTTAAGATCTAATAGAGAATTAATTTCAAGTGAATGAATTATTCATTTCTTTCAAAAAATTAAAATAGTTTTGTTGAAATGATTAAAAAACATGTCAAAGAATAAATAAGTGTTGACTTCATTTAAATAAAGAGTTTATTAGTTAGAAATGGTGTCATTTTCTAGGGACTTGAGGAAATGAATCTATAAATATATAATGATCCTTCATTTTTCCTGAAATGCATCGTTTGTTCAATTCTAATAACGGCTTAAATTAGAATGAATTATTTATTTCATATATTTAAAATATTTTTATTGAAATAAATACATGAGTTTATATTTCAACAAAAGTATTGTTGGAATGAACATAAAAATTCCAAACGAAGAGTTTATTTAAATGTAAATTAATGTTTTTTAATTCTACTAAAAACTTTACTATTCAGAAATGAAATTATTCTTTGGACAGCGAAAAGAAGGAATTTCATCTGAAAATATCGTGTCTTAAAATGAGAGATAAAGACGCCAATTAAGACATTTTTACCTTTTTCAAGATTTCACAGAGAATTATTTTGAAATGAATTAATTATTCATTTATTCATTTCCTAAAATTGAAAAATTTTATTGAAATGATTGTAAAAATATCAAATGAAGTATTCTATGGAATTCAAATGCAAATGTAAAATTTCTGGTTGAGAGTTCTTCAAATTAAATGAACTACTATTATTAAATAATATATATATTTTAGTGATCAGCAGGTCGAGAGATGTCAACAGTTTATTTAAATGTAAACAAATATTTTCTTGATCCGAATAAGAACTTTATAATTATTTATCATTATTAGGCGACGAAAAGAATAAATTCCATCCGAAATTATGATGTCTTAAATTAAGACAAAAGCTGTCAATAAAGACATTTTTCCCCTTATCAACATTTAATAGAATATTAATTTAAACTGAATGAACAATTTTTTTAATTTGATAAAATTAAAACATTGTCATCAAAATGAAGAAAGAAACGCCAAATAAAGAATTCAATTGAATTAAAACCCGTAAAATTTCCGGTTAAGAATTCTCCAAATTAACCAAACTGCTATTACTTTAAAAAAAACGTTATTTTGGTGATCAGCAGGTAGAGGGATGTCAACAGTTAATTTAAATGTAAAGAGATATTTTCTTGATTCGAATAAGAACTTTATAATTATTTATCATTATTAGACGACGAAAAGAATAAATTTTATCCGAAATTATGATGTCTTAAATTAAGACATAAAGCCGTCGATTAAGACATTTTTCCTTTGTTCAAAATTTAATAAAATAGTAATCTAAAATGAATGAACAATTTTTTTATTTGATAAAATTAAAACATTTTCATCAAAATGAAGAAAGAAATGCCAAATAAAGAATTCAATTGAATTAAAATCCATAAAATTTCCGGTTAAGAATTCTTAAATTAAGACATAAAGCCGTCGATTGAGACATTTTTCCTTTGTTTAAAATTTAATAGAAAAGTAATCTGAAATGAATGAACAATTTTTTTATTTGATAAAATTAAAACATTTTCATCAAAATGAAGAAAGAAATGCCAAATAAAGAATTCAATTGAATTAAAACCCGTAAAATTTCCGGTTAAGCATTCTTTAAATTAACCAAACTGCCATTACTTAAAAAAAAACGTTATTTTGGTGATCAGCAGGTCGAGGGATGTCAACAGGGGCACGTGTGGGGTCGCGAGAAACCGCGATGAATAAATGAGTGCCGATTAATTTGCATTCGATGAAAACGGTTCAGTGACTCACTCACTCCAAACAGACAAGAAACCGAGCACATGGTATTGGCGAAAGTGATCATAAATAATATCAAGTTAAAAGGTAGAGATAAAGGCGCGAAACCTATGGCAATGATGGTGAGCAGTTGGAGGAAGGCATTGCTGCTGCAGCTGTCTGTTGTGTTTACACTCGGCTCTACACTGGCATCGGGTGAGTTAGTTTTATCAACGTGCCTTTTATTAAGTTCCTTCTTTATCCTCTTTTTAGGAAGCTCTTGTGTACAGTTCTTAGGTGTATTGTACGGGANGTAAAATTTCCGGTTAAGAATTCTCTAAATTAACCAAACTGCTATTACTTAAAAAAAAAACGTTATTTTGGTGATCAGCAGGTCGAGGGATGTCAACAGTTAATTTAAATGTAAAGAGATATTTTCATGATCCGAATAAGAACTTTATAATTATTTATCATTATTAGACGACGAAAAGTATAAATTTCATCCGAAATTATGATGTCTTAAATTAAGACATAAAGCCGTCGATTAAGACATTTTTCCTTTGTTCAAAATTTAATAGAATAGTAATCTGAAATGAATGAACAATTTTTTTAATTTGATAAAATTAAAACATTGNATGGATGTTAATTTATGCGGTGGGAGTGGATAGTACGCGCAAGTGGATTTGGATCATTTGAATTTTTTAAAATATTTTTTTCCCCTTGTGGAGTTGGAAATTTTCTCCTTGGAGATCAATATTTGTTAACGGCTGAAGCATGCAGACGTTTTAATAAGGAGCGTCAGACACGGTAGCGAAGTCGTTAAATGGTATAGGAATGGAATGAGTGGATTTTTCGTATCGTGTTGAATAGGATTTTTTTTTTATAGTACATTAGAGTACAAGGGCACAAATTTCGTTTTCGACGAATGTGAAGTTTACAGGCCGAGCCGAAGGCGAGGTCTGTATTCACATTCGTTGAAAACGAAGTTTACGCCCGAGTGGTCTATACTATTTTATGCCACATCGTGCAGAAGTCGAGTCTGAAGCCGCTGGGCGAGGCGCAGCGTGCGATAAACTCGACTTATTGCACGGCGTGCCATAAATTTCGTTTATTTTTTTGTCGCATCGACAACGAGGTCATTAGCGACAATTTACAAGAGAAAGAAAAAAATAAATTGCAACATAATGAAATATGGATAGATAAAAGAGAGAAAAAAAAAGAATAAATATATGAATGATTATATGAATAGGAAATTATCGGGATAGAGCGGCTCTAATTTCATTCAAAAAGATATTCTCTGATGGTTGCTGCAGCACGAAAATTTTCTACATTTTCTTTTTCTCTATTTAATTAAGATTTTATTTTACTGAAGCTTATTTATTTGCCTGATAAGATCATTTTTTATCATCATTTTCTAGTTATAGAGATGGCGTTGTTACGTTAAGGGATATAATGTAGATGGACACGTGATTAATAAATAACTGGGGCGGACAGGGTATTAATTAATTAGGGTGAATACAGTTGTTGATCTCTTCAGGATAATTCCAGAGAATTGAATAACGATAGATCCAGGTGGCAGTCGTATCTCAACAGGTTTCACAGGCATCCTTCAGATGGTTTGCAATTTAGGGATTCGAAGGGGAATACGCAGCAGTATTTTGTTGTTAAATGCGGAATTGCTCTGGAAAACTGGTGATTTAGGGAGAAAATACCAAGAGATATATTTATTTAAAAAGATACTTTCTGATATTTTTATTTAAAGTCATTTGTCGCTGCAAAAAGAAAGTTTTTTACGTGTTATTTTTTGCCTTGTAATTATCATTTTATTGTATCGAAGTCTATTAATTTGTCTGAGAAATTCATTTTTCATTATGTTTCTCTGTTTACGCAACTGCCATTCCCCTGTTAAATGTGGAATCGCTGTGAAAAACTAGTGATTTATGGAGAAAATGTTGAAAAATATATTTATTTAAAAAGAAAATTCCTCATATTTTTCTAAATTCACTTGTTGCTGCGACAAGAACGTTTTCTACATTTTCTTTTTATTTCTTTTAATTATCAGTTTATTTCATTGAAGTTTATTGATTTGAAGGAAATCGATAAAAATCCCCTTCATAAAGCTTCCGTTTTTTATTCAAATGATTCAAACCGTGTGGTTTATTCTAAAAAAAAAACGAAAATACAAATGTATTCCCAAAACTACTCCTCAAATTCTTATGTGTAACAATTGACATCGTTTTCTCAAATGTTCAATCAATAATGTGTAATTTAAGAACCTTTCTATTATAATTCTTTAAAAAGACATTGATTTCGTAATAAAATCGCGTTATTTGGTTGACCTTGACAATTGCGAAAATGATGAGATAGGTAATGTCATTATGACATACACCCTTTCAATTCTCCAGCCATTGGAATGTGAACAGGAGCCTTTTCCTATTAATTTAAGTGGGTGCTTCCATGTTGTCACGCATAACCAGCGAAAAGTAATTAATTAAATGAGCAAATGCCGCGGCACGAGTTGACGGAGTCCCACACACTTATTGACGCAATGTTTCTTAAGATCGATTCACCCTCGGAATAAGCTCATTGCAACCCACGGTAATGGGCAACCTTGAATTTTTCCCGCCGCTTTAATAAGGGAGATAGGAGGAAAATGGAGTGCATTCAACATAATTTTTCTGGCGCCACACGAGAATTTTTCTGGTGCTACACAACAATGATTCCAAGTGTATGCAGATTGTGACTCGTTCACACTGAGAAAAATTGTAATGGTAATTTTAACTACAAGGGAATTGTCAAAGAAATTATATTCACAGTAACAATAAACTTTGTAGATTACACTAGGATTCGTCGTTCGATTTACTATGTCAAATAGTGTCATCAACATTATGATGTAATTTTCACTTCAATGTAATAGTTGAATCTACAATGTTTATTGTTACCGTAACTATTATTTTTTTGACAATTCCCTTGAAGTTAAAATTTCCATTGCAATTACTCTGTGTATGGTGCTTAGCACATGAATTTTCCTAGGAAATTTTTCTCCGTGTGCACGAAGATAGTTGAGAAGAAAAAAAGAACAAATATCACTACAAAAAACGGGTGTCTGACAGTTATCTGAATTTAAGATGGCAGATGGCAAAAACGTCTGAATCTTTAAAAGTGTCTGAAAATCTAACTGATGTCTGCATTTTAATTTCAGACATCTTGGGGTCTGAAATTGAAATACCTCCGTTGATTCAGACACATTTTAATGTCTCAAAAGTGTCTACAAAATCGTCCCAAAAGTGTTTGAAAAGTGTCTACAAAAGTGTCTGAAATTCAGACATTTCGCAGTGATACGCTGCAGTATTACATGGAGAGAAATATTCACTGTAATACCCCAAGAGCTTCAAAATTATCGGGTATTTTCCGATAGGTTCGTTGCAAACAAACGAAGGAGTCAAGTTTTTCAGGTTAAAAAATCACGAGTGCGAAGCACGAGTGATTTTTCCTGAAAGACTTGACGACTTCGTTTGTATGCAGGGAACCTTGAGGAAAATGCCCGATTAATTTTGAAGCTCGTGTGGTATTCGGGGGATTATTTTTCCAATCCAAATGTCGGGCAATATAATTGGACCATGAGACGAAACTCACAATTGAGAAACGAAAATTGTATAATTAACACTCATTTCGAATAAAAATCGACGGATTACCACAATTGAATTCAATCTGTCAGTTTGACGAGGGGTTAATTCGACTGCATGATGTTTTGTTTTTAATATAGCAACTACCGGAGAAAATTATCAAAAAATTATCAGTTGAAAACCCTGTAGCTTGTACCACGTGATGTCGAATGGGCCAAATATGGTTGTAAGAAATTTTACGCAACTGTCACGGAATTTTCCCGGAGCGTGCCGCAATTTTGATCTGAATCTTCTGTGAAAAATTACGATATCGTCACTTAAATTTTCTGAGTCGACTCCGTAATCGGTGAATTGTGAGTTCCGTAATTTTTACCGAATATTTCTCTCGGTGTACAGACTTCATTCGCAGGATGCGTTAATCACTCCTGAAAATAATCCTCCCATTGCATTAAACCACAAAGAGAGAATCGAGCAAATCCCCTGTCCAATTGCCAGCGGCCATTGTCATTAGTGTGTGAACTAGGATAATAGAACGATAAAAGCTGCACTCATACATATTAATCATTGCCCGGAGTCACAGTTTCCCGATGGACGCACGTACAACAAATATTGGTCACAGAAACTATTGCCTACGCTTCCATCCTTCCTCTGATTGAGCCGTCTATCACGTGGCTGTTTGTCCGTGACGGCATTTTCGCTTCAATTTCACTTTTCTGACGTACGCCAGGTTTCGCCCGCAAATTTTGCTGTCGGATAGAACACACGCTATCAATTTCCAGTTTCCGGGAGTTTCTGGGAGTATCGGCTCGGATATCGGAACGAAGAGCAAATGGTTAGTTCTAATTATCTCTTCTGATTTCGGTAATTCACATATTCATTTCCGATGGGACGTGGGTCGTGGGATGTTGAATAGAATTAGCATGGATATTAAAGGGGTGTATGAACATAATTTCAGTAGCGAAGTGGCAAAATGGTATAAGTCAATTTTTACTATTGACCAGTTTTCAATGAATATCTCGGAATCTAAGGGAGATAACAAAATTTTTGTTACAACCTGTTTTGTAGAGCCAATTGAGAGCTACAACAAATGTGATTACAAAAATTTCGCTATCTCCCTTAGATTCGGAAATATTCCTCAAAAACTCAACTAGGAGATGAGTCGACTTAAACCGTTTTACCACTTCGCTACTGATTTGAATTTTGAAGATTAAAATTTGAAGTAAATTCTAAATAAAAATTATTATGGATAGAAACAATCATGTTGAGTTTATGTTCAATTGGCAGTCTAGTATTATTGATAATAATTAATGTAGAAGTGGAAAAATAACGCAGTCTTATGAGAAAAATAAATAACGTTTCGAGGGTACACCCAGAAAAATGATTTATTTCAATTAAATAAACTTTATTTGAATCGAATAAATCCTCTATTAGAATCAAATAAACGATTTTTCTGAGTCAAATAAAGTTTATTTAACTCAAATAAACCATTTTTCTGCGTTTAGGAAGAAAATTGAAATGTAGAAATTTTTTTGAAAAATCAGAAAAAGTAAATAAAAATTCGATGTCCAATGTAAAAATTATCGTCACTGT